TGTTGTTGGTTTGTGAGTATTTACCTTCGTCGAAGGAGAAAGGGCCTCATCTTTGCTACAAACGCAGCCAGCGCATTGACAATCTTCGTCGGTTGTGCACGGATCNCATCATTTTTGAGAAAGACGCACCTCTGCTCAAAATTCTTACCGTTTCTGCAATTGACGGCCAGGTGAAATTGTAGTATTGATCTCCCACCATATAAATAATTTGTCTCCAGTAGTTCCTGTATGCGGGTGGAGGGTGATGGAAATGACACTGCTTCGCCCATTTCATCATGTTAGCTTCCATGGCACAATCATAACTCTATAAGAAGTATTAGACTCTTTGTTTTTATTGCCTCACAATAACACGCTTGAGGCAAAGTTGGAGCTATCTACCTTATGATAAAGAATTATCATGCCTTTCCACTTTTAACATTCGAGCTGCTTTCGGAGCAAATCCACCAAACGCATTCTTAGCCTTTCCTTGAGCAGTCTGCGTTCTGAAAATTTCAACCATTCCGATTATATCGCAACTTCTCAGTGTTTTACCAACCGGAGCTTATTGTGCGTATTGACGAGCATCCATCTAACTTCATCTGTCATGCCATTGTCGGAAGGACAAACAATAAACTCAGCTGAAATGTTGATTTCGGTGAGCTATAACTAAAAGAGCGATTTGGAAAACTAACGTTTTTCCGTTGTTGTTGTGGGCTCCATCGTAGTTGTCGTAGTTGTCGTTGTTGGTTTAGTAGTAGTCCTCTCTGTTGTTGTTGTTGGTTTGTGAGTATTTACCTTCGTCGAAGGAGGAATGCAAAGGGCCTCATCTTTGCTACAAACGCAACCAGCGCATTGACAATCTTCGTCGGTTGTGCACGGATCTCCTATGTCATAAATCGTGGTGAAGACCGCATCTCCCCTGAAATTGAACTTTCGAGGATAATTAGTCATATAATGGAATTCTGCGTCAATCTTCTCGTTCTTACCCGGGATTGTATTCACATGCCACAGCTGTGTAAGAATTGGAACACGTTGTTACTGCACAACCAATTTTGTTGCTCGACTGCCAGGCCAGCTGAAACGATAACAGTAGCAAGCTAACTCGTATTTGTTCGTTACATAAGTTCTGCAATTACCTGAGCGTATTCACCCAAGCCCTGCTGGTAGAGCTGCGGAGTGAATACATTGTTCGAGGTACACCGATCGTATACAATTCGTTGAACCAGGCTTTGACGCTCTTAGATGTGATTACTACTGGTCTCAGAAGAAGATGTGTTTAAGCTCTATATTCGAACCTCTGCTGCTGCCTCTGTATTGTTATTAGTCAACGATAGCGTATGCACGTTAGTCCTCCATTGGTTTCTGTTCGCAACATTGTTATTACCAAACGTGCAAGTTTTCAACCATTCCATCGCGTTTACTTCAACGTCGCAATCGTAGCTCTACAACAGTCTTTGCAAACAGCATACCATAATTTCTTCGTAAATGAGTGGAGTCCTAGAGAAAGATTCAATTTTGGGGTCTCAAACGTGGTTCATTTGGGATCTCAAATGCGTAACATGGTGGAAATCGGAATCAACCGTAACGAAGTCGTACCACTTTCAACATTCTGGCAGCTTTCGGAGCGAATCCTCCATTCTTGTTCTTGGCTTCACCACTAGCTATGAGCGATCTGAATAATTTCGTTCATCATGCCTATAACGCGACATCAGGCGGCGAACCGATAATAGTTGTGTTAATCGACGAAAGCTGTCCTAACCTCATCTGTCATGCCATTGTCAGACGGACAAGGTGAAGCTAAAGTATAATCTTTGTAAACTATATCGCAACGTTAAAGGTTTTCAAAAAATGGTAGAAATGCACCAGCCACAAATGATGGTTTCAGAAGCGCCTAAATGCGTACACTTAGAAAGGTATTTTCTTTGTCTGCAGCTAGTGGAAATATTAACTTACCAGGCAGGCGATCACGATAGGTAATAACATACCTGACGAAGGATGGGAATGTCTGTAGTACTCTAGTGGTGCTTTTATAGTGTTTNTTTCATTCCCTCATTAGTAAATATCCATAGGCGTGAGCAGCTGTTAAAACTTTAACTTCCAGATTATTCAAACTGCTTTCCCATTGTTTTCGTGGGACTGTTCTCACATTGACTGGATTAAACAATGGAAAGAAAAATCGCTGTTTAACTTCGTTGCCCAATCCAGCAGTGAAAGTGTTTTTCACGCGCTGACGGATTTAGTTTACTTTTCAAAAAACATATTGGAGTCACCAGGGGAATGTGAACCGAAAAATTTTATCTCTACTTTCTATCTCCAATTTAGCGCTATTTCTGCAGAAATTTATGGGAGTTTATACCCTTTTGGGTCTCGGAGTATTATGAACCGTATGAAGTGTTTTATGAACAGGCGAAGTGACGTTAAGAAATAAGTGTTCAAATGAAAGACCCATTAGCAGGAGGTCCCTACACGATTCCAGGCAATGGATACCGCTTGTACGATCGCCGATCCCTCACGTAAGCACCTTCCAAGGGTTCTTTTTGAAGAAGAAGAAAATATGGAAAGAAATGAAGATTAGCCGTTTGGTGATTTTAACTGGACTTCCACTTGACCCTCTGAAATGGGGATTAAGCCTCAGAATGTAGCTCTTGTAGAGCCTGAAGGGATGAGTTCAATGGCACAGTCTGTGGGACGCTGGTGAAAGTTCTTACTGCTCCAGAAACGAAGTGCTTAGTAATTTCCAAGTTTGGTCTTCCTGAACCTGGGTATGTCGCATAATATTTCAAAATGCTTTGCCGTAGAGATTTGCTATGATAAATCGTTTATTAGGTCGACGCTTCGACTAACTCGTCGTCTTCAAGGACCTGAAAGTAGTTCGGAGCACTTGGTCTGTGGCTTATCTGACCAAGCGCCCAAACGCACTAGGCCAGTACCAACTACTGCCAGAAACTCAAACACCGAAACGAAATGTCTGTATTACCCTGCTGGTGCTTTTATATAGCGTTTCCATTTTATCGTTGGTAAATATCGAGGGGCGTTAGCAGCTGTTACATCTTTTACTTTGGATTATTCAAACTGCATTTCCATTGTTTTGGTGGCACCGTACTCACATTCACTGCTAAAACAGTGGAACGAAAAATCGATGTTTAACTTTGTTGCCCAATTCAGCAGTGGCAGAGAAATTATCTCATCTCATAGCGTATCTTATGGAGTTTGAACGATTAAATTCAGTGGTGGGTCCATGGGAAAACTTCTTGTTAAACCGGATAAAGGTTCAGTACCGTCACTTTACTACTTTATTTTGTTTCTTCTGTAATTAAGTTGGTACGTAGCGGATGTCGAACAATTAGGTATTAGGTATTAGGTATTAGGTATTAGGTGGTGCTAGTGTACGAACATGTTCGAATTACGGTCAGATCTCACAGACGAAATACTCGGTGGAATGATTATGGCCACAGAATTGACGTTCTTGTTAACAGCTGCTATTTCGCCGTCGTACGTCATGCGAAAATTTCGCAGGGTTTTTGAGTTTGTGTTCAAAACTTCGGCATCGAATGGGACTCGAACCCGTACTTCTGCTGTCCAGGCACCATGCTCTAACCCCTTACACTACCAAGGCCCCGCTTGTCCCCCGACCTTCTTAATGGCTTAGATGTCATAGCTTACCAGCATCCTCACATACAACGTTCGGCATTGCATCCGATGTCAGCATTGAACCGTTACTTGCTGTAAGCTGTTCATGTAAGTGAGCAAGAAGGCTAGGGCAAGCGGGGAACTGGTAGTATAAGGGATAAAGAGCGCGAAGTTCGGAAAGCACAACTACGGTTCTGGGCTCCGTCCGATGACGAAGTTCTGCCCACGAATCGCCAACCCTGTCGGCCTTAGATTTATTGCCGGACACCTTCAAAATTTAATATTCTGATTGCTAATTCATATTATCCCAACTTGTGAGGAATACATTTCTTTTGAAGGTATGCACTGATCCAATTTGGGGTTTTTGTAGAATTCTTGTGGATTCGGCTCTCCGGCTTGGATTGTGGAGATTTTTTATTGTTTTTTTGCTAATGCTCTCTTCGAAATCTTCACTACTTGTACGTTTGAGGGGAAAATTCAGCGTAATGGAGCTAACCCAAAAGCGCAGCACGTCACAAAAATGAATTTTCCTCGAAGCTGAGCGTTTTTCCCTTGAGTTATCCAACTTTGATCAACTAATATCAATGAAAAAGTATATGAACTTCAAATTTGAGTAACAACATTGACTCTCGGCTGCTTAAACAGGTTTAGAGTTGAAGGTTTTCACTATAAAGATCTAGAAGGGAAATTTGTATGCTACGCATTTGAAGTTTGAAGCATGAAGATCTTCAGGATTTATTGCTATCGCTAGGGATGTCTTCTACCCACTGGACTCGTCTGATGGCACCGTACACTGTCTTGTTTATTTTACGTAAAAAAAATTGATGGTAGGCGGACAAAGATGAAGTACAATTGTGGGGGAGAGGTGTACTGTAGCATAGAGATGGTTAGAACGGAACTGGTCCCATTGAACATTGGTCCATCTGTGTAGTTTACGTTACGGCATTTCAAAATCAGATCCTCTCTAGTCATGCGCTGCCATCAAAAAGGCCAGTGCAAGCGGGGTCTCGATGGTTTAAGGAATGAAAACAACAATTTACAAAATTTTCTATAATTTTTATTTCAGAAACTATTGCTTTCCGGTGTTCGGAGGGCACAAGTACGGGTTCCAGTCCCGTCCGGAGCTGAAGGTTTGCCCATGACTCGAATGAGAAAGTGACGAGACGATAATTCAGGAGTTCTGACGATCAGTAAGCCAAGGTCCACGACCAAACATCTTGGAAATTGGATTAGTCCCAAATTGTCTGGTAAAGATCAAAACCCGTTTCTTGATACTATATGAAGGTCACCTATTCTCTGTCGTTTCGGGGCTCCATTAGTGTTCAGAATCAAGGGCGACCACTGCTTAAAACTATTTAGTCGCTCTTGGAAACTGTCATTAAACATTTATCATCAGTTCACTACAGTAATTCTTCGAAGTTGCCGTCAGTAATTGAGTTGATAAGGTACTTTTATACCACATGACTGTCACCAAGTAAAGTTCAGTCTTTTATTAACATCTGGCTCCGAGGGCAACCTCCTGAAAAGTTTCTCAAGTAGTGAGGGGACCAAAATGCCAAGATAAAGTATGGCGTTATCGCCTTTTCTGAGTAACGAGTCACGGTAGAATCCCCGATCGATATCCGCCTAGGTCAACCAAGCCGTTCATCCCTCCATACTCGCCTGGGAGGGCAAAAGCACTGACTTGTGCATTGGCTGGCTACCATAAGTCATTGTGTAGGCCATATACGCATCTGCCACTGAATGGAAGTCGAATGCGTGGGCGCATTCCTCAGACGGGATGCACTCGAGATTAACGCCCCTGGACTTTATCCTTTTATCCTTTGACGTCAATATAAACGACGATCGTTGAAAGATTACGTGCTACTATCCCCTCTTGATGTTGTACTGAAAGCCAAGACTCATCTGGGAACACTTGTACCATGTTCGTTTTTCGCCCTTCTGTTGCACTCGCGGTTTGTCTTTGCTGGCAGCTGCCTAGAATTCCCCTCTGCAATCCCCGCACAAACCCTTGGCGCATTCCTCAGACGGGATGCACCCACGACTACTCGAGATTAACGCCCCTGGACTTGATCCTTTTATCCTTTGACGTCAATATAAACGACGATCGTTATAAGATTACGTGCGTCTATTCCCTCTTGATGTTGTACTGGAAGCCAAGACTCATCTGGGAACACTTGTACCACGTTCGTTTTACGCCCTTCTGTTGCACTCGCGGTTTGTCTTTGCTGGCAGCTGCCTAGAATTCCCTTCTGCAATCCCCGCACAAACCCTATTCTTCTTTAATGTAGGTATTTACAGTCAAGGTAAATCATCAATTAGTATTCTACCAACTTTTTTCTTACATAAAACACGACAGGAGATTTT